GATTTATTGATAAGACAGAAAAGCTCCCACTGTGGGAGTGGACCCAAAGGAATTTCCCTAGCCCCATTTCAAGAGTTCAGTGGCACACGTGACTCGTGCTGCTATACTGTACTGACCAGTGCAAATATAGTACATTGCCATTATTGCTGAAAGTTCTATTGGACAGTGCTAGTCTAGAATAAACAGAAAAATTAGAGTGAAGTTTTCAGACTCAGATTGTCTGGATTCAAATCCCAACTTCTACCCATGACACTATCTGGGTACATTTGGGGAATTTATTCCCCTTCTCCTTACTTTGTTTTTCCTATGTATAAAATGGGGATAATAGTAACTCATTTCAGCTTCTTAACTTTGTTGTGAGGTTTAAATGATTTACATGTAATGTGCTTAGCACTGTGCCTAGCACAAAATAAGTGCTCAATAAGTGTTAGGTGTTCTTATTTTTACTCTCTCTTACTCTACCTCACTTCTCCAGTTGCTTTGCTTGTTCCCGTTAGGCTTTGTCCCCCACTGCAAGGTTTGTCAAAGTTTACCAAGATCCTCCCTCTTACCAAATCCAATGGTAAATTCTCAGTCTTCATCTTACTTGACTTGTCAGAAGCCTTCAACACACAGCTGATCATGTCCTGTTTCTTAAAATACTTTCTTCATTTGGTTTCTAGGACACCATATATATATATATATATATATATATATATTTTTTTTTTTTTTTTTCCTTTAATGGTTGCTCTCTCTGAAGTCTCATTTGATAAATTTCCTTCCTCTTCCTGACCTCTAAGTGGTGGAATATCTAAGGTTCAGTCTTTCTTGATTTAAGTTACCCTAAGTAATCTTATCCATTTCCATGGTTTTAAATACTTCCTGCTGATTATTCCAAAATTACATGTCACTTACCTTTGATCTATTGGGCTCTAAACTCATCTATCCAATTAATCATATAACGTTGTACTTAGATGTCTAATAGAATCTCAAAATCAAAATCATGTCTAAAATAGAACTCCTGATTCCTTCATGAGACTGAATTGGTTATTAATGTTTTACATTTATTGCTTTTAAGTTTTTAGTGTACTTTCTTATACATTTAAAGACATTATCTTTATAGAAATCCTGTTAGGACAGCAAGTGTCAATCTTATCAGTCAGTCAAACATATTATGACTCAGATCTCTTAGGTAGGTTTTTAAAGAATTCATACTTAATGTGCCATATAACCCAGAATAAACAGTAGGGTTTAAGTCTCCTTATTCTGTTTATATGCTTTCTACTATATATGATGGTTATTGTAAAGGTGAGTTTCCAACTAATAGGCAAAGGAGTATATAAAATAGCGTGAAAGAAGAGAGACTTAGTCACTATGTGAGCTGGCTAACATATCTTTACAAATGGTTTGTCTTTTAACAGTCATTGTTTACATATGATTATGATATTATCCAAAATCACTTTCACTATTCTTTAGGAAGATCCTTCTGAGATTTCTACTCTGCAGAAGGCAGGTAAGTAGTTTTGTCTGATCTTGAAATTCATAGTAGTGCAATGATATTTATTTTTACAATGATAAATATCATCTCAAAAATAAAAATATTATGATATATCTGTCATTCCTTAAAGGATAGCTTTGACTTAACTACATTCAGATCTCCATGTAGAGACCAGGAAAATCAAGAGAATACTAAATGAATCTTTGAAAATACAAATATACTAGCTGAAAAATACATGGAATTTCTTTGTTTTAGGTAAGCTACTCAATACATCTTATATATTTATGTCTGAACAAAGGAGCTATTGTAAGACCCAATACTATAAAGCTAGCTTATTACTATATAATTACCTTTGATAGCTTAATATCCAAACTATTAGATCACGTGACCAAACACTTAAATTTGAAGATTTCAGTTTCAAATACAGTCAGAGTTTGTGAAGACATTTTTTTCTTAAGAAAACAAAACATAAAAAAACTTGAAACACAAATACATATATACACAAATACAGGATTTAAAATCTATTGAAAGTTTGAAGTCTACTAATTACAAAACAATCTTTGATGGCTGTGCCACAATTAAACCCAGGCTTTTAAATGAGAGATAATCTGAATTATATTGTCAATAGGCCAAAGCTATTAAATGAGTAAGCAGGAACAATTGCAAATATCAAGAATGACTAAAATTTCAACCATTATGATGCCACTAACTAGTAATGAAGACAATGACAAACAGATTTTATTTTTTGCTAGGCAATATATAGGAAGGGACTTTATGATGAAAAAGGAACAAAACTACATTTCTTAAATCTGCCAACATCATAATGTTTTTGAGATTAAAAACCTTTATCTACACACACTGAAAACCAAATCAGTGCTGTTACAGAATCTTAGTGAGAGTTAATCTTAGAATCGTCTCTCCTTCACCTCCTTATATCCAACCAATCACCAAGTCAGGTAACTGAGTATTAGTTTTGCTCTTGAAAAATTTCCTCAACCTATCTTTATTATAATTGGCTTAGATCAGGATCTCATCTCTTGTCTGAATTATTGTACCACTCTGTTAATTCATTCTAAAATGCTCTTTTACCAGATGTGGACTTAAGTTTACTTATTTCTTGTAGCCGCACTAGCTTTAAGAGAAGGATCTCTGTCTTCTCATGTTTTCCTTAAGATATCTCTGGCATATGGGAGGTTCTAAAAAATTATTTGTTACATAAACAAGTGGCAGCCTGAATGGCCAAAAACTACAAATTATATACAAATACAACCATCAATTCTCTACTGAAAACCTTTAAAAACTTCCCATCACCTAAAACTATGGATCTAAAGGACTCCTCATGATTTGGTCCCTATCTATCAGCCTCTTCTCTGGCCAGTCCAATATTTTATGTTAACCCTTGATGAGTATGGTTTGTATCTGGAACAGCTTTCTAATTGCCCTTTACCTACCATTACTCAGTCACTGAGATGATACCTCAGATCAGGTATCATCTCCAGAAATTCATTTTTGAAATTCCAGATTGGATCAAGCAGACTTTCTCTGAGTATCTAGTGCTCCTTTTATGTGATTCTAGTTTTACCACTGACATATGACCTTGAAACCAGCAATCTGTTTACGTATCTGTCTCCTACAAGATTATAAGCAACTCAGGTTATAAATGATTTCTTATTCATCTTTGTTCTCCATGTGTCTGGCACATGGTAGGTGTTAACAAGAAAAAAAAGAAAGAAAGAAAAAGAAAAGAAAAGAAAAACAAAAACCCCAACCCCTGAATGAATTATTTTCGTTTAACACCACATATTTTCTAACTTGTAGTCTTGCTAATGTCCTTTTAGGTTCCTAATTTTTAAAACATTAGTAGACATTATTTTTTAGAGAATTTTTAGATGTACAGATGTTTGTAAGTTTTAAAAAGAAAACTGTAACAAAGTTCTAAGTGTTGAAGAAGTCTTTTACAAACCCTCAATTTCATAAGGTCAACATCTGTCATATTAGCACAGCAGAGTTAATTATGTACAAGTATTAGTTAAAAACTTATTTAAATATGATCTGTATGTCCATTGTCCATATTAAACTTCCATTTCTACATTAAAATGCAAAATAGCATTTTAAAACATCAAATTAAAAATTCCTATAATAAAAATTACATTAAATATAGTTGAGTTACAACAAGAATATAAGAAATATAATCAGCTGGGCTCGGTGGCTCAGCCTGCAATCCCGCACCTTTGGGAGGCTGAGGTGAGTGGATTGCCTGAGCCTGTGGGTTCGAGATCCGCCTGGGCAGCAAGACCTCATCTCTACAATAAATCAAAAAATCAGCTGGGCGTGGTAGCGCGTGCCTGTAATTCCGGCTACTTGGAAGGCTGAGGCGGAAGGATCGCCGGAGCCCAGCAGGTCGAGGCTGCGGTGGCCGGGAGCGGCCACTGCACTTCAGGCTGGGCGACAGAGTGAGACTCCAACTCAAAAAAAAAAAAAAGAAATATAATCAAATAACTATTTAAATATAATATCATTCTGTGAGGCTCCATTTCCAGAATCACAGTTATAATTGGTAAAATCGAGATCAGCCGGGTCCAGAAATTAATAAACCTTAATTTCTTTTGTACTGTAGATTTATGTGTCCTGACTTCTGTGTACAAGAACCCTAGTATTCAAACATGAATTAGATTTAATCCAGTTGCCTATAATTTGTTGTTATAAAAGAAACACCACATTACATGCTTTTGTTTGTTAAGTAGATGATATGCTATTATTTCCAACATACCAAGTATTTAATGTTTAATTACCAACACCCATTTGAAAAAGACATTGCTTTGAGTCACAAATTTCTTAATTGCTAACAGTGGCTTCTCTAAGTAGGAGTGTTGTATATAATTTATTTTTGCAGATGTGATTTAGAAACTGAATTTAAAGTAGCAGAGCTTTGAATATCTTCGCCGTCAGCAGAAAATCCCTCTATCCCTGCTGCTGGAGAATATTGCTGCTTGAAGTTTTAACAGGAAAATAAACACACTGCAGTGAGAAAATTGATACTACTGGCAAATGCTGCTTACAAACTGAAAAGGAAGTTAGGTTGTCAGCAATACAAGAACTATATTATTCACACAAAATATGAGGCGTCATCTTCACGGCAACTTGCTGGGAATGGAAATAAATGTGACTGGTTCCAACTTGAGAAACCTAAAGAAAAGCAAATATCACACACATCAGAGAATCTTTACTAAGGATCGGCAGCTGGCAATCGGGGGTACCACAGTGTAACTCCTCCCTAAGGAGGAAAGACATGATACAGATTGCAACAACAGTAGCCAAGGTTCACTTTGAAGCAGGCTCATTGATCACTAGAAAAAAAATGTCATCATTATGTTTCCAGAAAGGTCAGCTACTTTAAAATGCCCCTTTCCCTCTGGAACGTGTCATCATCCACACAGTACTGCAATAAAATGAGTAAGAGAAAAGAGAATGTCTTGTAATGACCACTCAAATAGGAAGTCAAAAGTAACTTTAAAATTCCTACCCGTTTGGCTGAGCTGGGAAGCGCTGCGACTTTTCCGTGAGAGACCAACAATAGCTACCATTTTGGCCCCAATGCTAGAGCGCCGCTTTTTGCCGCTGGAGCCCAAGGCGCCCACTGCAGTGTCAGACTGGCTGCCATCGTTCTTCTCCAGCGAGCACATGTCTCCGCTGATGCTGGTGCTTTTAGTCATGTTCTTCCCTGACATGCCCACTTGTCTGCTTTGCATTTTGGATGTAAAGACACTGTCAGCCGATGGATCATTAAAAGTGAGGACAAGAGTAAAAAGGAAAAGACAGAAAAGGCATTTTAGATGAAACATCTGGAGCATAACAACATTATATCATCTATGGAACATATTTTTAAAATTTAAAAATGTTCAAACACCATTGGTCTTGAATGTGTTTTACTATTCAGGGCCAACCTTTAGGCAAGTATGCAAAATCAGACTTATTTTACTTCTGTTGTTAAAGAAGTCACGAGTTTACATGGTCACAGGAAAAAAAAATCCTTTCAGAGAATATGCTGTCCTGAATGTGCAAATCTGCTTTTAGACACGATACAACATGAGAGAATTTTCCAAATGCATTCTTCTCTACTTTACTGTTGCCCTAAAAAAAAAATTAAATAAGTAGGAATATTTTACAAAAAGTGGCAAATAATATAGTATCCATTGCTAAGAGTGGCCCTTTAAAATAAATTTTCCCATTTTATTAAAACCTAATAAGGTTTGTGTAGTTATATATCCTAATAGTGTTTGATAATTTAATTAACTTGAAATTAAAAATAATTTATTTTACTTTACTTAATTTCATAATTATTGATATAAATCTATCTTACAGAAATAAGAAAGATTTCCCTTTTGCATTCATTTGAAAGAAGAAAAAATCATCAGCTTTCTAGACAATAGATCAGAAACAGTCAATGAATCACAGAAGCATGTGAACTGACTAATGATCTCTTACAAGACTAATAATGCAAACAGGATTAAGTTAAAAAAAAGGATTCTGATTTGTTCCAAGAATACTGCAGTGTGGCAAAGGTAGAGTAGGGGGTGAAGAATCTGGAAGTAGGCTACTCAACTGGTCCCCATAAACCTGGGAGGCTGTGAAGGAAGCAGCCTGTTTTGCAGAAATGGGAAGAGTTATTTTTTATAGTCTCAGTTGTTAACTCAGTATTAGAAAGTCATAGTTTCTGCTTTATTTGGGTTCTGATAATGAATATTTAACATAAAAGTAATAAAAGAGAATAAAAATCAAGAAACAAATTTCTTTAAACATTAATTAAAGAACAAGAATTAGAAAACTGATTTATTGAGTAAACTCTTATCTAATTCAATACCTTGGTCTTCCAACAAAAATTTTATTTTCTATCCTAGAGTAACCTAGGATCACATAGTTAGTTTTGTTAATCTTTTAGGATTTCCTCCAGGTATTTAAGAGGCCCAGTGTGAGATTTAAAAAAATACAGTATACTATTTTATCCCTTATATTAGTTTTAAGAAGAAATGAGGCATATATATGCAAAGAGAGAGCACGAGTTTGAGAGTGTGTGTGTGTGTGTGTGTGTGTGTGTGTGTGTGTGTGTGTGTGAGCATGCAGTACATGTTTCTATAATACTCCAAATTGATCATTTTCTTTTAAAAATTTTTATTTTAAAGATGTGGGGTACAATTCATGGTTAGGTACATAAGTGGTCATCGTACAGATAAAGTTTGGGCCTCCCTTTGGTCCCCACTTTGCCTGGTTTGAGATCAGTTACCCTTATTGATGTTATGTGCTTTTCTTCCACTCGCATGCTGGCAGTGTCCCACTACTGCCAATTCCTTTCTTACAGCATTATGATAAATGTTCAGGTTCTGCTTATGAGTGAGAACATGTGGTACTCGGTTCTTTGTTTCTGTGATAGATCACTGAGTATGATCGACTCTAAATTCATCCAAGTTGCTGCGAAGTCCATAATTTTGTCCTTCTTTATGACTGCAACTGATAATTTTCAAGCTTGTTTGATTTTTATATTCTTTAATGAGCAACAATAGACTAGAATAGAGAGAGCTTTGCTGCTACGCAACTGACTTATTTTAGAAAAATTATTTGCTCCATTTTGGAGTCTCAAGTTCCTCATTTATAAAAACAGAATATTTTCTTTTTGCTAAAGAATGAAGATAATGTATCTAGAGAAAAATTGAATAGATGGAAATTATAACGACTAGTACTAGGAGTTATAAACCACAGATAAAATAAGGTTAAGGCCCTTCAACATGTAACACTTACATAGTATAAATTTTAAAAAGCATTTGAGATTAAAATGTCTAAAACAGTTTTCATATAAATGACATTTCAAAATGGGACTAGAATGCACTGGGAGGACATTTGGGTGTGATATTAGGTTTTATTGACTACTCATGTCATCTTGGGAGAGTCGTTTCATCTTTCTGGAACTTAGTTTCCTCATTTGATAAATGAGAAAATGTAGTAAAGAACTAAGCAGAATGCCAGATACTTAGTAAAAGCTCCCCAAATTCCCTTATTCCTTCTCAGTATTTTCACCACCACCACTCACATCATCAATTAAGCATCCATTAAACATACTGAACTATAATATTTAAGGTCCCCTTAACTATGTAATGCTTTGCTCCCCAGGTAGCTCTTGTTCCATGAATTCTGAGCAAAGTCAGAGATGCAACACATGATTTTCATAGTATGCTGCCATCAGAAAAGGCATGTTGTGACTTAAAAAGTCAAAGTTTAGCTGAGTTTAAGACTTTGAAAAAACATATGTTCCACAGTCAGAATAATTTAGTGCTTCTGCTATATAAGAATTTTCACCCCAAACATATACCTTTCTAAAGAACCACCTAATCTACTACCTACCAAGGCAGTCAAAGATATGCACACAAAATTGTACTTTGTCATTTTTGTCTTTTAATTTTCATATCTGAATATCAAGGCCATTAAGAACTTGACCAAGTTCTTACTACAATAAAAATACTAACTGGAATCGATAAATCAGTTTGTAGATAGATAGTTTAATGTGAGTCTAGTGTTAAAGAAATGCACTTCTTTTCAATCTAACAATTTTAATAATGCATTATTTACAAAAAGGTTATTAAAAATTTTGCAAGATGTATCTGCTTTTCATCTCTTTGAAACTTGAGATCACCAGGCATGTGTTTATAAATAGTTGCACTAGAGTGTTGTGTTTTGACAGGAGAAGATGAGGTTAGGGTATTACTACTGGTTTCCTTATCTTTCTTCACTGAACTTCATCTAAAACTGCAAACAAAAAGTGTTACAAGCAAACAAGATATCAACCAAAGTTTTAAAGCAGTTTTGAGACTCATGATTTATGGAATACTTTGCAGTAAAGAATTTATAAATATGGATAATCTTTTGGATTGCTCAGTGTGGTTAGCAAAGTACAGACTCATTACAATGGCAATTACTTGAAGAAGGAAAATTGGTCAGAGTCTGGTAGTATGGTAAATTTCAGTAGTGCTGGTAGGGGTTCCAGTGATGGGTTTCTAAAGAGCAATTTGGAAATAAGTATCAAAAGTTTTTTAAAAAACAAGGCTAACCTTTAACCTAGTAATTCTACATTTAGATTTATCATAAGTGAAAATTTAACTATATGTATAGATTTAGCTATACTGATTTTTTTTACAGAATTGACTATAGTAGCAAAAAGCAAAACAAGACAAAGATGAAAAATAAATTCAAGGAGAAGACCAATGCCCAGCAATGGCGGGTGTTTAATTAAATTATGTTAATCAATAAAATAGGATGTACCTTTGAAAACGCTGTCATATGTAAACATTTATTGGCATACAAATGTATTCATGATGGGGAGGGCAAGGAGAAACAGATATTTGCAAATTAGTTTTGGGTGACATATATACCAAATATGGACTCACCTTACTATTTAGAGACACAGGCAAATTCAAACCCTAGCATCTTTCTAGTGGTACAGTGACAGATAGAGCATGCTCCTGTTTCCATGGAATTTTCCTTCATGTTGCCATGGGGAAGGATAATAAAAAATAAATCACAATTTCAAATAGAGATACGTGATCTGAAGAAAATAAGATAGAATAAAATAATAACAAGGGACAAGAAAGTTTGGGGGCAACTTTAAGTAAGGTTGTTAAGGAAGGCCTCTCTGAAGGCCTTCTGAATGATGAAGCCAGTCACGTCAAGGAAGCTTAGAGGATCTTAGAGAGAGCAAGTGCAAATGCCCTGAGGCAGAAACAAGTGTGGTTGTTAGAGGAAAATTATAAAACTAAATATAAATGGAATGAAGTGAAGGTGAGGCTTCTATATAGGATAAGGCCTAGATGTGCTGGGACAAATGCACGACTGCCTCTTATCTAACTGCCTATTCAGATGTTACATAAGAGCTGTCCTAAGACAGTGAAAATACAGATACCAGGAGTTGTTGTACCTGGAAAACTTGGGATCCAGTCCATTACTATATATCTAAATATAACACCAGAGGGCATTCGAGAGACCCTGGCTATCTTCCTAAAAAAAATGATAAATTACGGAGACTAAACCCTTTAGGCAATTAGGTTAATTGAACATTCAAAATGTATTTAAATTCCTACACTATATTAATTCTTTACTATCTCTAGAATTTATAAGTTCTCTACCAAATTATTGAATCATAGACCTTCCCTTCCACCATGAATTTGAAGAAAGTTATTATACTTTAAGGAAAATTTTTACACTTATTACTTTATGTATCATAAATATATGCTTATTTCCCTATTTATTACACAGTGCTCAAGGTTCCTAATTGCTTATTTTGTCTGTCCTCATATGATAATTTTTCAATGTCTTTTGTTAGTTGAATTTCCCTGAACTCTTCTCTAGCTGTGTGTTCTGTCTTCCTTTAAAAATTAGGCACAAAAACTACATTTAAGATGTGCATATTTCAGTCATAGGTGTCACTTGCATTCACTGTTGATTTAATATAAAACCTTATACAAAAATTGTGATTTTAAAATGTTTTCATTATGAACTGTATCTTAGAAAAACTCTAACTCTTCTCTAATTTCAGCTACTTCTTTATCATCCTCAGAGACATGACATAATTTCCATTTTGTTTTCTTTTCCCCTTGAGTTTTAAGGCCTTTAACTATTTCTGAACTTAGCTAATTTAAACTATAGTAAACATCTTGCCACTAATTAACGGATTTCTTTAGCAAACATCTACTGCACACCTACTTGGTGTCAGGTCCCAAGGG